AACAAATTTATTAGAAAAATGGCTTTGAAGATTCATGGACTACATGTGGATTTGGAAAGTGAGCAGAATATTCAGTATTGCTAGGATTAGGATCAGGATCTCTATGAGGATAACTCTCTGCCCAGGAAGGATTAGAATTCCAAACGAAAGGATGAAAGGTAACATCAACCTGCCAAGGAAAAGGATGACAACCAGGAATAGGATGCCGATGCTGGAATAATGTCAATTGAAGCTTACCAATATGTTCATAAAGTGCTAAAATTTCCAAGTGCAAAGCATCTTCTTGATGAATCCTTGCTAACATTCGACTAGCATTTACCTCAAGAAGCGAGTTAATACAAGACTGATAGCAACTAATGGATTCTTGACTATGAACTTGAAGATGTCGCAATTGATTTCTTTGCTCTTGATAATGAGACTGCAAGCGAGATAATTGGTTTCGTAGCTTAACCAATTCTTCTTGATATCTTGGACATTCACACCCAATAATGGCACGGCCAAGAAACTTGATTTTTTCCTGGAGAGTCATAATACAACCAACAATGGCATCAGGATGTTCAATAGTACAAGCAAGTCTGTTAATGCGAGGCATGATTATAATCATAAGGATGGGGAATGGAAAATAGTAAGAAGAAAATCGAGCTCTTAAATATTGGAATAACCAACGAGATTGATCAGCGTAACCTCAAAAACTTATATAAATACCCCCGATCCTGAGAAAATTCCTATCATGAGAAATACCCAAACTTATATGTCAACAATCAGCCTTGGGAAAAATGAACTTACTTAAAATGGATATGCTATCTATTTTGGATGAAACCCTGAAAGTAAAGATGGGTCCCTAAAGTATTTAGCATATAAAATTTACGTCCCTTTACGTCCACGTCCTCTAGAGGACATAATTCCTAGCTCTTTACTTCAATAGGGACATAATTCCAGAAATTATTTGTATAGATACTTAAAACTATAAAGAACCTTTGTAGGTAGTTTTTTTTTATTCCTTAATATAGAAATAAAAATTTTTAATAGTAAGGGACATTTGAATTATGTCCTCACAAATAATTTAGGGACCCATCTTTACCTGAAAGATTTACTATGCCATATAATCTGATCACATCAATCAATGAATCTATTAGGATGACGATCCTGGAAATTACTTGATATATGCGACAATCTCATCGAATTGCTGTATTAATCCACTTGTACTATTTGGGAGAATTACTGGAAGTTATGAGGAATGCACGACAAACTTGAAAAGAATATATCCAAAAATATTTATTATCCAACCATGAGAGATATTATCGATCCGCCACACGAACCTATGAGATTTTTCAAAATAATATGAAGCAAATTTATCGAACAAAGTACTTGTCTATACATTACATTGCCGGAATAATCAACGGAGATTATAGGAATAATTTCCTAACTTTCGTAAAAGGTTTAGGCTCAGAGGACTTTGCCTTTTAAAGGGAGGGAATATGTGATAGAATAGATAACTTAGTTTTATTTTTACTTATTTTTATCGAATTATTATTGATTTATTTTTAGCAGTAGGATTTATTATTTTAGTATAGTATAAATATTTATTTATAGCACATGTAACATAGATCAAACAGCCTAGAAGATCCAAACAGCCCGAAAGGTCCAAAAGATTTATAAGGCCTATGATCTATGAAATTATGACATCGCGACACATAAATCAGACAATCCAGACAGCCCAGATAGTCTAGGGTAGAAAACACTATATAAGTAGCTGCTATCCATGTAATTTTTACTCAGTTCTTGATAACTCACTCTTATAATCGTTTGACTTTTTGGTTTGTGTTTTAATAAAACACTGCTATTTTATTAAACATATTTTGGTTATAAAGATTCATTGGGGAATCTTTGCCATACCTTGGAATATTTGTGAGAGATTATCTCTGGAATGACAGACTATTCTATATAATCTCTAATTTCTTCTAAAAACTACCACTCGGATACGGATCAAATGGATTTTGATCACAATGTATATCATATAAAATACAAATAAATAAAAAAATAATGTTTTCCTATTTAAAAAAAAAATAATAATAATAATAATAATAATAATAAGGAATTGATTATACAAATATATCGATATTAATAATATTAAAAAAACTCTTTTCCACTCCCCTTTCTTGCGCTTGAAAATTTCCTTTTTAGGAAACTTTTTGAGTTGTTTACTTTTCTTCGCTTTTCCTCTTCTCTCTCCTTTTCTTGGCCACAAGCCTTTTATCTTCTACCTCTTTTTTTCTTCTCTACTCTTCTTATACACCACTTTTTAGTCTCTCCCCTCTCCCCTTTCCTTTTTCCCCTTTTCTTGTCAAAATTAGGTTTTTCTTCTCCTTGAAGTTTTTCCTTTTCAGGTCTCTCTCTCCTTAGAAAATATTATGTTTCATTTCACCACTCCTCTGGCCAGCCGACTCCATTTTTTCAAGAACCATATAAGAAGTGGCAAACCTTCTTCAAGAAATGGACTTCGACAAGTTTTTTTCTTTTATAATTTTTTAGAAAAAGGATGGACGGTTTATCCTCTCCAAAAGACCAGCATGACCATCATTACCAAATCCGGTATTGTTTACTTGTTGACAGCTAGACTAGATATGTCTAAGAAACCAGTGCACACTATTATTGGCTGAATCTCTAGATGCTGCACCTTATGAGAATCTATTAGGATAATACGTGAAGACCAGGGATTCTAGTTACCTCCAAAAACGAGCTGGTGATGATGTTCGCTCACTTCTCAACAATGTAGGTCTCATGTGCAAGGTTAGGTAACAATGTCTATATGAAAATTCAATCCAATTCTATCCATTGAATACTTCCGTCACATTTGGACAATGGATATGCCAAATCCTTTTTATAACTTGGAGGTCAACCTGCATAAAGTGACTGCAGCGTCTTTGTGCATTAAGGTAACACCATCCATATTTTTCCCTCCACTGACTCTGCCTGCTGTACATCAAGCCAACTTTTGAAAGCAAGCGTGCCAAATTCCAACCATGACTTGGAAGCAAACTTGTATATTTGGCTGCAGCACCTTTATGTGTTTGAATACTCTCCTATCTCTCAGCCTTCTGCTGGGCACTGCCCAAGAATTAAAATAGGTTTTGAAATGAGTTTACTATTTAGTAATAGGTGGTTAATAGTATACATGTGGTGTAAATTATTTTGCTGTTGACTCAATTATCAAAATCCTCAAAAATAATTGCGTCTGACTCAATTATTTTATATGTTTTAATAGTGACTCAATTAATTGCATCAAATAATTGCGTCAATTGCATCAAGAATCTACCAATTTCTACCACATGTATAGTTAATAGGTACTTAGACAAAGGGCCAATTTTTGAGCCTCGCATTAAGCTCTTCTTATGAAAGAGAGATGTAGTTTATTCTAGCAATTTATAATACTGTTATAATGGCAAGTCACTTATAATAAAAAGCCAGAGACTAACGGTTGTCTTTGTTCCTCAAAAAAAAAACAAGTATATCGATATTATATAAAAATTTTATTCCTTTATTATTTATTCATTTATTTATTTCATTAATACTTCATTTACACAATTTCGATCATAAATTTTGATATTGTTCTTGTCACGTGCCAATCAATTTTATTTTTTCGTAAAAAAAAAAAAAAAATTTATTGTTTTTTTTTATTGTTTTCCGATAAATCATTTTTAAAATATCCAAGAAACCTAAGTTAATCGCATAATTAATTTCATGCACGCAATGTTTGAACTTGTGACGAATCTCTATATCAATTATTATTATTATTTTTCTTTTTCTTTTCTAACATCCAATAACCAAAAAAAACTGGATAATAAAGTATACCGTAATTAAAAATATACACAAAATGACAAAATAATAATAATAATAATAATAATAATAATTTATTTCATAACTTACCACTTAGCCATCGGACTTATGCAGTACAATAAAAATTCATTCAACCTATTTAATTTTTTCGGAAACCGTATCAAATTGCTTTAAAAAATACCTTAATCGACATGATCGTATCATAATCATTGCATTTCATATTGAGCAATTTGATTTTTTTTTTTTTTAAAAAAAAAATTTTGATTAAAAATTTATTTATCGTAATTGGTAAATAAAAAATTTTTAATAACCAATTTTTTATTATAAAGAAGTTATGATTCTCGCCATTTCGATCAAGTTACCGGGGGACTATCATTCCTTATCTTTCTTTTCCAGAATAACGACCATGTTCAATGATGATTGACCGGCCGAAGATTCATGAAGATGATTACGTTAGCATAAATGCGGTAATTTCACCTTAAAGGATAGTGTATTAATTTTCGATTTTCGATCAAATTTATGAAATGTAAAACGGGCTAGACTGAAACGTCTTAACCATAGAAGGTAAAATGAAAAAAAAAAAAACTGGAAATACCCCCCAATGGATTTCAATATACCATTAATTACAATAAATTGTTTTTTTGGTACTCCTTACCATTAGTGGGAATTTCATGAATATCAAAAAGTCCGAAAGGTGAAAAACCCAAAAGCGTGAAGAACCGAGACCACTGAGCCTTTGTATGTAATGTTTATTAAGATCATGGTTAAATTGCTGTTAGATGTGATTATCGTTATTTCCAATTTAAGATGTGTTGCTAGTAAAAACAAAAGATGTCTCATGAAAATTCCTGCTCTAAAAAAAAAGGGGTTAAAAAGCCCTTATCATTTCATGGGTAGGCAGATTTTAACTGCTGTCATCGCCTCAAAATCGAAAAAATAAAATCAACTCTTTAAGACTTTAGGATTTACCGGATCGATCATGCTTTTTTTTTTGACGAAAAGGAATGCTATCGGACAGAAAATATAATTCGCTTGTTCTGCACGTGATCTAACCAATAGTTTTTTCCGACCTATCATATTCCACTGGTGACGTGTCATGAAATCCAATCTGTTTATAAATTCAGTTCACGCGTTTATTTTGTAAAAACTTTACATAACGAACAATGGCGTCCAGACAATGTAACAAATCCGAAACTGAAAAGATCTCTTTTGACACCCTCACCAAAAAAGATTTGGATAAAAACGATAGCATCGCTTCTGATGAAATTCAAGAGATGCATGTTCGCAAACCAAAACCAAACGGGGTCTCAAATTATCAAAGGACTATCAAGTACCGTAGATCGATCTTTTTACTTTTTTACCCGACGTACTCATCGTTTTCCAATTAATATTAGTGTTACATCACCTACCGATACCATGTTATCTCCGTGCACCAAAAAGCTACAAGCAAAGAAGGAGAAAAATTACAAAAGGTCGGAATATCTATTCCTGTAACGTGTAATAATAATATATTATGTTCTTTATGCTCACCAAAAATTGTCTTGTGATGAATGTTCCTCCTTTAGCGGAAAGCCTTTGTTTCTCAGTAACATCTTCTCCAAGGCGTTGAAAGAAGAACGCGAGAAACAGGCTCAAGAGGATGCTTCTGTCAAAAAGATTGAAACGTAAATAAATCTCCTGGACACCAAATCCATAAAGAATTTTTTTTTTTTTTTGTTTGCTTGTTTTGCACATTCACCTCGGTCGATGTACACACGAATGCTCTTTCCTATTCTTTGATTGGCAATCACCATTGTATAAAGACAAATTAATAAACATTAGACAAAACATCTAAGGTCAAAATGCGTTTTTTTATTTCTAATTCTTGATAATAATTTTATTATGATACATTTCGTCGTATACACTACATGTACCTTGCCGAAAACTTTCTAGAATACAGATGTTCTCACTATAGAGAAAAACCGTTATGTAATTATTTACTAAGAAAATTTTTTTTTGATGTTGGTGACCATTAACCGACTTCTCAAACATATTGCCTCTTCAATGCATTATCCACAAAACTGCTGTTTTTCTCATCGATCTTTTGATATCTTTCCTCGAGATTTCTCGCTTGTATCAATACGATCGTAGCCAACAATAGGAATATATCGACAGCTATAAAGCCAAACAGCGTGGTGAATAACTTTCGAGATGTTTTATCAGCCGACGTTATTACGAGATTGATGCACCCTTGGGTTGAACTCATGTTCGTTTGTGCGTTACACAAATTAGAAGTCACCGCGTTATCAGATGGACCAGTCCACCCGCAACAACCCAACTGTGTTCAAGTAAATGAAATAGATAAGCATTTTATCATCGAAATTACCAAAGAATGTTAAAATTCAAATTATATCGTACCTGGTCTTGAAGGGTCGCTTTCATGGCAGTTGGCCACTCGAGCCATTCCTCCGTGAAATGCTTTCGTTCAATCAACGTTTCGAACCAAATGATTCCACCCAATGTCAATAGGGCCATAGAAGTTAAAACGATGAAAAACGAATGCGCTATCAACCAATTCTTTCTTTTCAGAGGACTGATGAAGCCCACCAGAGCCACGAAGAATGATACCATAATCAATCCGCCAACAACGAAGCCACCTTTGGAGAAATCAGGAGCGTAATGTTAGCACACACATTCAAAAAAAAAATAAAAATGGGTTATTTGCGTACAACAAATGTACCTTCAATTAAATTTTCCGTTATCACTATGCTATGTAAATTTGTGCCCTCCGTCATGAACCACATGGCACCAAGAACCAATATAAATACACCGGTAATCAAGTAAGATAACTCAAAGAAGGCGAAAGAAGCCAATATCGACTTGGTTATCGCCCGATATTTTTGACGCGATTGTCGGTTTTCTGCCATGTTTTTTATGTGAGATGTGTGTTTTGTGTATGCAAATGAATGAATGGAATTTTTGTTTATTCGTTCTATCTCGTCACTGTGTGCTCGCCACGGAAACGAAGTTAGAGGAAACCGATGAATTCTTTATACAGTATTTTTGGGGGGATGGAGATGACTTTGTACAAATAAGGAGAAAGTTCGGAAGTAAAGAGAAAAGAAAAGAAAGTAATTTCCGAGTATAGTGAGGGGGCAAAAGATATTAAGTTTAGCGACAGATGTACTTGATGACCAGCAACAAGAGAGCATAAAAAAAAAAAAAAAAGAGTAAAATCCCAGGAGAAAGGATGTAAGAAAAAGAAAGAGGAGGAAAACACGTACCTCTTGTAGATATTTTGCACGGACAATGCTAACTATACCGATGAAACAAGGAGTATGCAAGCGAGAACAAGGACATGCAGGTGATGGTGAAATTACACAGCAGTCGCCTCGAGGTCTTTAAAACCCTCGGGACGTGAATAAACGATGTTTCGTTTTTTCTGAAAGCACTGCTTATTTATTGGCGAGCCAGCGCCCGGATTTTTATTTTTATGGTAAGCGTCAAGAGAAAAAAGAGTTAGACTCTAGGAAAATTCTCGAGATGAAATTTTTGGTAATTAATGAGGTTTTATATTGTTTCAATCCCTTTCCAAATATATACTTGTAATTTAAAATCCATTTATGTGTGGGGGCATTCAAGACGTGCAAAACCAATTACACTTCACATCTTAATTAAATGTGCCCGATAAATCGGAATTTTTTTACATTTTTGGTCCTAAAAAAGATCATCCTTTTCACAAATGAGGTAGTAAAAACTCCAAATTTGATCGACTAATATAGAATGTCGTTGCGAAAAAACGAAATTTCGAAGAATCAGGCCACACGCACTTAATACGAAACTCGAGGGCGAACATATGTTTCTAGCGCTATGCTATTGAAATCATTAATGTCATTGATATTGTCGTGTATCTTGTTGTGTTATTTTATTAGAAGATGCACTGTATATTGTCGAGCCCTATGTGGCGTACGAGAGAAACTTGACCCGAGTAAAATTTTTTTTTTTTTTTTTTTTTTTTATTTATTTATCAAATAAACGTTGGACAACGGCTAAGGAAGGGCCCATAGAGGGAGAAGGAATTCGAAATCATATTGGTTGAATATTCATCACCTAAGCGACGATCTTGAAACGTGGACGTACAAGATCTTGAAATTCTTGGTTTGGGGACACCATTGAGGAAAAGAATGTTTCAAGTAACAATCGATACGTGACACAGCGACACAAATAAAAATGATACGTAACATCACTCCGTGAATAAGAGACATATAGACGTTCAACGAGAAAATTAGTTATCCAGAGGTAATGCGATGGAGGTTAACGGGAAACCAGTTTATCCGATTAGCTATAAAACCATTTAAATGACTATTCTTAGTATGCAGGTTCTTCTTTTCTTAGAAACGGTAAGCCTCTTCACCACTTGATGTGGATAGACATTCAAACATATATTTAATTCATTCTTAATGACGAATGATTGGGAATGGGTGATGACCCCCAGATTTGACGAAATTGCGAAAAACCAGTTTTCAACCCCTAGAAAATTCCATCGTGCATATCCTTACGTTTTGGATTTTTATATAGGTTCAATAACCCTATTTCGACCATCGAGCATGATAATTGCGTAGTGGAATTCGTGAAAAGAACATCGTCACGATCTACTGCAACTATTTATTAATTAATATTTATACAAATAATAAACAGATAGGGATCTTTAATCAAATACTGTATATAAAGATAAGAAATGCTAATAATCCCATTAATTGGCGAATTTCCTTTTTTAAGCGAACGTCTGTCAAAACACCGAATCGAATTTGCACACATGAACGGAGGAAAAGTCATATGTAAATTGGCATTTTATTGTAAAAAGATTTTTTTTTTTTTGATACGATATGATGTAATGTGAAAACACCGAAATCCTGACTGACGACTTATCGAGAGAAGACCATCCTCGTCGATCTTTCGGTAAACGAAATCCCAATGTCGAAAAATGTTTACGTCAAATTAAGGGTTAAAGTTTTTTTTTTTAAAAAAAAAAGGGTGTATAAAAAACATCATTTCGCAAAATATTTATTTATCTCGGATATCTTGTAAATCATAAAAGAAAATCGATTTTTTAAATATGTTATAAAGAAATTTTTATGTATTGGTAATACTGTATGCGACAAATTCTTTAATAATTGTTATATTAAAAAATAAACCCATGATTAATTTATTTTTTTTCTTAATCTAGCAATGCCATAACAAGTGTTGACGATATCTTTTTATCAAATCAAGCTTTAATTCGATTTTTAATTTATGTTATAATTTAAAATCAAAGTCGGATTAACAATATTACCATATACTGTATTTACAGTATTTGAATTGAAAAATAAATAAATCAAATTATTTTTACTGTATATATTTGTGTATGTGTTTATTGATTCTTTTAAATTATTTGTAAATAATAGTCAATATACAGTATATTTTAAATAAAAAAAATGATGAAAATATCTTATCTGAGAATATTCAAAAATAGTAAAAAATATATACTGTATATAATAATTATTAATGGGATTTATATTGACAACTATTACAGTATATTGTATATGAATTAAAAAATATTCTTGAAATTATTAAATAAATAAATAAAAAATAATTAATTAATTATTAGAAAGACTTTTACAATATATTGAATAATAATATAATAATTTTAATTTAATTTAAAGCTTAAAAAAAATTACAATTAAATTATTATTTTGAAAAAATTAATATAGAATAAATATATTATATTATTTTTAGATTATTAATATATTTTTTTAAATTTATTTTTATATCTTTTTTATTTTTTATTTATTTTACAATACTTTTATTATTATTATTTAAATCTTATTTTTTTTGTATATTTTTTTTTATTGTAATTTTTTTTTTTAAAATATATTAATAATTTTTTATAATTAAAAATTTTTTATAGTTTAATTTTTAATTAATTATTTGTTTTTTTTTTTATTTATAATTATAATAATAATTTTTTTTTTAAGTAGATAAATATCATTTCTTTATTTTATATATATATAATTATATACATATTTGAAAAGAAACAATATTTCTTAGACTTGTAAATCTATAGTACAATGGTTAGTACTTTACAGGTCAGATCACAAAATATCAATTCAATCCTATATAAAGGCAATTGAATAGTATTAATATAGTATCTGATACTATAATCTGTTATGTACCGTTTTTTATAAGAAACTATTTTATATGTTGATTCAATAAACATTAAGATTGTAATCTTCTTATTAAAATATAATAGTATAATGATTATTCAGATAGTGTTATAATAATTATTTACAAAAGAAGCTATAGAACCATTCATATATTTGAAAATATAGACTGAACTGTACTTTATCTCAACCAATCCCAATCTGCTATTCTTTTTCCTATTAACTGTCAAATAAGGAAGCTTTGAAGAAAGCATTGAATCAACACTAATGTTTTGTATGATATAATTCTTTTTAGATAGTTTTGGTATATAAAAGTTGTGCCCTGCTTAATATTTATATATCAATTCTAAAACTGGAGTATCTACTAATAGATTAAAAAACTTGGGAGCTTGTTTAGTATGGCCTATATAATTCTTAAAAAGTCACATCCTACTTGATCACAAGAGTCCCTAGATTTGATAGTTTAAAGTCAACCAATGGTTAAAAATTAAAGTATTTACTAAAAAGTATATATCTTATATTGTCAACTCCTCTATCACATGATACATAAGTGAAAAGGTATGATATAACTAGGAAAACGGGGACCGTTGTTAAGTCCGGAACTTACTTAACAATTAGGCAACACATGACTATTAACAGACTCCGAAGCACATAGTTAGATAGTTTAGATAGCGATATTATATATACTTTATGCGTGTTTGTGCTGGCCTGAAGGGAGTGATCGACTCGCTATTGCCCGCAACAATAGTCCTACACTTCGGACTAATTAACTCCGCGGGACATTAGTAAAGATCGGCGATTTCGTGAATTTTGTTACGTGTCGATCA